CCATTCAATCAACTGTCAATACCACAACAACTGTTTTTCTTTTTATTCAATAATGTTATGCTCCCAGTTTTTAAAAAATACTTTATTTTTTAGGACAGTTTTAATTTCACAGCAAAATTGAAAGGAATATACAGAGATTTACCATATACCCACCACCTCCACAGATCAACATCCCCCATCACAGTGGTACACTTGTTAAAATCAGTGAACCTACATTAATACATCATGATCACCCTATGTCCATAGTTTATAGTAGGGTACAGTATTGGTGTTTTACATTCCATGGTTTTAGATAAATGTATAAAGATATATATCCACTATTATAGTATCATACAGGGTATTTTCACTGGCCTAAAACCCCTCAGTATTCTGCCTATGCATTCTTCCTCTTCTCCCTGTGTTATTTTCTTTAAGTGGACAGAAAGACATACCATTGGATCTTACTAGTTTTACAGAATTGTAAAAGGACAGTACCCTAACCAATTGTGCTAAATTATAATTCTCTAGACCTGGATAGATAGGCCTATTAGAAAATACTCTTAACATGACATTATAATATCAAGTAATAATTATCTTTCCTTTTGCATAAGTTTCATAGTGCTGTTGTAAATCACCACAAATTAGGTTGTCTAAAACAACACACATGTATTTTCTTAAAGTTCTGGAAGTTAGAAATCAACTTCACAGGGCTGAAATCAACATGTCACAGGGCCACACTCCTTCTGGAGGCAATACGGGAGGATGTGTTTCCTTGTTTTTTCTAGCTTCTAGAGCTGACTTCTTGTATTCCTTGGTTCATGGTCTTTTCATTCATCTTCAAAGTCAACAGCATAGCATCTTCGAATCTCTCTGCCAGCATCTTCACATCACCTTCTCTAAGGACATTTGTGGCTATATCAAACACACACATATAATCCAGGGTAATCTCTCCATTTGAAGGTCAACTGACTAGCAACCTTACCCACAGTCATGTAACCTCCTTCACGTTCAAAGGAGTAGGACATGGAGATCTTTGTGGGGAAAGGGGAGCATTATAATCCCTATCATCACATTCTTGCTTCCAAATTTTGAATGATTCTTTTTATTTTATTTCGCTGTAGGGCTCATGCACTTGCCAGAGAGAAACAGAGAGAGGGAAAGTGAGAAATCACCCCACCCAGGGGGATGGACACACAGTAATTCCTTCTCCTCCACCATCCTCAGGATTTGGGGCATGTATGCACACATGTCCAGAGTGTTTTGAAAGCCACTGGGTCTGGAACTTGAATCATTATGCCAGCCATGTGGGATCCAGCTGTCTTAACCACCACACCACCAACTGGCCCTATATGATTCTTTTTTTTTTTAAGGTTGTTTATTTAATTATTATTATTATTATTATTATTATTATTATTTTAATTTTTCCAGAGAGAGAGAGAGGTAAAGTGAGAAAGCAGCCACCAGGACTAGGACTTAAACCATGGTCAGCCATGTGAAAGTCCAGCACCTTAACCACCACATCATCTGCCAGCCCTGCTACATGACACTTTAAAAACAAACAAAACAAAACAAACACACCACTGCTCTTTTTTTTTTTTAACATTTCTTTACTTACTTATTTTTTTATTTGTTGTGATTTTTAAGTCATTGGGTCCAGAACTCAAACCAGTCAGCCATTTGAGAATCCAACACCTTAACCACCATACCGCCCACTGGCCCTCTGCACGATTTTTTTTCATCTAATATCATATATTTTGTTCTGCAACTCTCTGTTGTCACTTCTCTTTTCACTCAGCATATGCTGTATGCATCTACCTCATACTTCTTAATGGTTAAACAGCATTCTAATTATGGAATTGGCAGATATTAATAATTTCCCCATAAATGGAAATTTAAGTTACCAACTTTTCATCATCATGAACTGTGGAGCAATGGACATTTCTGTATTTCTTTGTATAATTGTGACTATATTTCCTTAGGAAAAGTTTCTAGAAGCTAAAATTCTGAGACAAAATTCATGCCCACTTAATTTTTACAGATTACCTTCCAAAAAGGTGTGTCAATATTTTACACTCATACCAATAATATATGAGATTGCCTGTTTATCTCCAACATTACTTACACTAAATATTTGGGACTGATTTTTAAGTTGTTCAGTATGTATATAGCACTTTGAGATATCCATATAGGCTTTTATGGCACAAACTAAAAGTTCAATAATGTTTGGTGAATTGAAGGCTAGAACAAGTGCATGTGTACAGCTCAGATGGCTTGTCCTAACAATAATGCATCAGTAATAGATACTGTGTATAAATGCCTTGTATATTACAAAGTGCTTTTCTGAGGTTAGTTTCATGCATGGGATATGTTCTTTCTACACTTAGTTCTCATATCTCACACAGATTGGTCTTGCTGCTTCCTTCTTTTACACAGTATATGCTCCATTACCAAGACCCATAACATACTTTCACTGTGCACTCTGGAGACTCTACAGCTTAAAGTGTTTGATTCTGTGGTACTGGTCCTTCAGGAGGAAAGGCATGAAAATATTACAAATATATGTAATATAAATGATAAAAGAAAGTCCCACAGAAAGGATTCCTATTCCTGGGTACATAAATATTTTGGAAGATCCAATGTCAACTGATTTTCTACTAAGTGATTTATTAGGGACAGAATCCCATGGGGTGAGATATAACACAATGGTGAATGTCCTACTCTAGTTGCCTACCCCCCTCACCCTGGGAAGTGGCGATAAATTTGGTAATAAATAAGGATCATGACTCCGTGAGGTAAAGGCAAGAAAAAAATCAACTGAGAGGGCACTGAATGTTGAGCTAGGCTCTCAGGACAATGACAGCTGGAAAAGGGGCATTATTCTCTAAGTTTTCTTTCCCTTGCCTGCTCTAGAAGGAACAGTTTCTAGTGATAAGAAAAAGAGTACTGGCATGAGGAAGAATAAAAGAAGGGGCTTTAGAACTGCCCTGATTGGTTGTTTCTTGAGTCAGAATTCATGTAAACCTGAGTAAAAACTGTTCTGTCCAGTTTTCTTCCCCAAACCGGGGTTTGGAAGGTCTGTATTTAAGAACACATGGGAGACAAAGTCCTGAAAGCAGAAAGGAAATGGGCCCTGCAACAATCCTGTCCTCCACCTCCAGTACCAAGCTATAGTGCATGTGCATACATGCTTGGTTTTGCATCCCAAGCTTTTTAGGACCTGACTCCCCTTCTCTAAAGTGAGTTGAGTAGTACTCCCTGATGAGGAGTGCTTTTGGCAAAGAATGTGTGGTATGAACCCAGTCACAACTCAGAAAATACTCCTGAAACTACTAACATATTAAAATAATTTCATTTGTTGGGCCCACCTCTGACTCCTCATCTGCTTTGCAAGCCTTACACATGTACCCTGTGTTGCTTTAAGATCTCAAAGGGTAAAAAGAGAGTGGTCAATTAATGAAGTGCTTACAAATTGAAGGATTGTCCTTCCCCTGCCCTACCATCATATTCCACAATTTCTTCTTTTCCTGTGTATCTAGAAACTTTCTGTGGTATAGAAAGGACACCACCTATAGTAGGTTCTAAGGGTTCATTTGCATAATGTATCACTAGCATCTCTTGTCCTTGGACTAGGGAAGCAGGTTTTTCAGGTTGGAAGCTGCTCCACACCCCTCTCCCTTAAAGTCCCTGCATTCCAAGGATATTAAGTCACTGGTGCTGGGAGTATATGTGGGAGAAATTTTGCCTAGTCTAGTACTGGGGCATATTTTCTGCCCTGTGCATCTCCGCTCCAGCTCTAATTGGCCTGCCTGGCTTGTTGTGTCTTTCTCCCTACGTTTCCATAGCACCTACTCCATAAGTAGCTGATTCACATGGCTTTTATGGACCAAATTATTGTTCTATGTTGTTCCTGCTCTTAATTGAGGGCATTTTGACAATTGGGGAGAAATTCTTGTTTGAATTCCAAAGAGGTAGTGTTTTTCTAGATGTCTGATAGATTATTTCTTTCAGGCTAACCTTGAATAACAGTCAGAAGACAGTAGTGTGAGCTTTATATGACAACCTAAGTCTTTTTATCATGAAAAATGAAATGAGGGACTTTAAGCTAGAAGAAGAAAATCTCCATTGCTGCAAAGCAAGTCACTACATTTACTCCCAAATTAAATATCCAATCCTTTTAGCTACAAACACTGGCTGAAGTTGGGAAAAACATACTAGCCAAGCCTGGAAATAGGATAATTCTGGTTAATAGCCCTGTTACTTAGCAGTGGGAAATCCCCCAACATAATGTCCTGACACTAGATAAAAGGGGGACAAATAGCTAAAGATTAATTCTTAGCATGACCCTCAAAGTAAAATTGGGTAGGATTTGGAAGCCTGAAGTCAGACTGTTTACAATTCCTGGAAGCATTACTGTGGCCACAATTGGTACACACTACAAGGAGTTCTCTTTTGCCTAGTCTAGTACTGGGGCATATTTTCTGCCCTGTGCATCTCCGCTCCAGCTCTAATTGGCCTGCCTGGCTTGTTGTGTCTTGCTCACTACGTTTCCATAGCACCTACTCCATAAGTAGCTGATTCACATGGCTTTTATGGACCAAATTATTGTTCTATGTTGTTCCTGCTCTTAATTGAGGGCATTTTGACAATTGGGGAGAAATTCTTGTTTGAATTCCAAAGAGGTAGTGTTTTTCTAGATGTCTGATAGATTATTTCTTTCAGGCTAACCTTGAATAACAGTCAGAAGACAGTAGTGTGAGCTTTATATGACAACCTAAGTCTTTTTATCATGAAAAATGAAATGAGGGACTTTAAGCTAGAAGAAGAAAATCTCCATTGCTGCAAAGCAAGTCACTACATTTACTCCCAAATTAAATATCCAATCCTTTTAGCTACAAACACTGGCTGAAGTTGGGAAAAACATACTAGCCAAGCCTGGAAATAGGATAATTCTGGTTAATAGCCCTGTTACTTAGCAGTGGGAAATCCCCCAACATAATGTCCTGACACCAGATAAAAGGGGGACAAATAGCTAAAGATTAATTCTTAGCATGACCCTCAAAGTAAAATTGGGTAGGATTTGGAAGCCTGAAGTCAGACTGTTTACAATTCCTGGAAGCATTACTGTGGCCACAATTGGTACACACTACAAGGAGTTCTCACTTTCCTGGTCTATGAAGGGTAAACATTAGTTAAGTAAATGTGAGGATACTTAGTCACAATCCACAGTTGGCATAGTAACCTTAATTCCTTGGTAGCCTTTAGAGGCATCTGACTGATATTCCAATCAAAATACCCAACTGATAATGAGAAGTAAACATTGAGATACCTGAGAAAGGGAGAAACATATTCATCTATTGGGAGTGTAGGAATGAGCAGAGGGTTGACAAATATATGGTCCTTATTAGAAAGTAAAATCCTGTAGGCAGAAACTAGTACCAGTAATGAGTTAATACAATCTGATTTCCCTCCTCTGCCTTCACACCACCTTGGAGTGTTGGCTACCCACTCCGACCTCCCAAAATATGAAGGTGACATCCCAGTCATTATTACTTTCTCTCACCCCTAAAATATCAAGTCAATGAAATACACAGGACAATAGCAGCCACAAAGCAATCTTCCCTTCTTTCCACACATCACAAACATTTTCAATTACAGTTCAGTTTCCCTGATATCCAAATCAAGTAGTAAAATACCAAGAGCACAGAAAAGCTGAGTGGGTGGGACTCCCTGTTAAAGAGGCACTAAGTGAGAGATTTCACTCAGCCATTTCACTTGACAAGCTGGAGGCTTATGTAGGTCCCTGAGAAAAGGAGTCATTTTTAGCTTATACCCTGAAGGAATCCTACTTGGTACTCCTTTCTTGGAGTATATCTGCAAAGGACTGCTGAGGAGAGCAATCTTTGCTGAATGATTACTAATAAAATCCTAATGGAGAGTTAATTCATTTAAAGAGCAGCTCTTTTAATAAAGGGGATTTTATTCTTAGTCAGAGCCTCTCAATGGAATGAAAAGGCCCCAGTCAACATTCACAGTTACAGGTTCCACATCAGTCAGACTGTTCCTGGGAGGTATACCTAGGTAGTAAGCCATCACATCCTCTGGTGGAATTCTCCGCCTTCAGCTTGTCTCAAGCAAATGAGCAGAGCCAGAGTGCCACAGAGATCCCAAAGTTCCTGGAGCCATGTTATACTAAGTGAACTGGGTAGGAGGGATGTGAACAGTATCTCTGGCCCTTCCAATTATATAGTAGATACCCCTGGTGCCAAACATAGCAATAAACCTATTTGGGAATGGCTCTTTCTTCTGATAGACTTGCCAAAAAAAAAAAACCAAGAAAATGTCCTGGTAGGCAGTCATACATGAGCCTTACACTGTCCTTCAATTTCACAGTTGCTTTTGGCAACCACTAACCCATCCCCAAATACCCAGAAGATAGAATCACACAACGCTTTGTCTTGTTTCAGCCTCAAATGATGGCTCCGAGTTCTCAGCCCTGCCCTGAGGGATCCGGTGGCAGCAGACACAGTGGAGGTAGTCTATTACATTGTGGGTAAAGAGTGAACGCAATGGATGCAGGTACTGGAAGAAAAGCAACATGAAGCCAATGGAAATAAGATACGCAATGATGAGTTGCACAGCAATCAAGGAATGACAGTAATTCAGTAACACTTTCACTCCAAAGAACTTAAAAACTAAGACCATGATCACATTCTCTACCAACCTCACACTATAGTGCAGGCCCATGTGTCCCCAATTCTGACCTTTGTCAACAAGGTCTCTGTCTGCCAACCTTAATTGCAAGGCTGACCAGCAAGAGAAGTTGATGCCAGCATACAGGACAGTGATTGAAATCAGCACCACTAGGGTGCCAACCCGGCTGAAATTTTTCTCAATGTTATTGGGCATCTGGGCACCACTCCTCCAGAACTTAATCCAAGGTTCAAAGAGGATGATCAGGAAGTTAAGCACTAAGAAGGGCACAGCCTTTAATTTCAAGGTGGCTGAGAAGAGCACCAGAATCACGAGGCGAGACGTGATCTCCAATGTCCGCCAGATGGTAATGCAAAGGACTTCTAGTGGCCCAAGGCGAATCTTGTAGTCATCATACTTGATCTGGATAGCCAACATATTGCAGAGGGTAGCCCCATAGGTGACAGATACCAGAGAAAAAACCATTAGCACAGCTGTAAAACAAGAAACAGAAAAAACAGACAGTCAATATTGGTGGTGAAGTCTGTACTCAGACCCAGAAGTCCAGAGATGATAGATGAGAACTGGGGATCACAGCAAAAAGCAAACTTACAAAGGGTTATAGTTATGTAACTAAATGGTATGCACCTGAGCAGACATTTTTCCAAATATGACATATAAATGGCTAACAAGTATGTGAAAAGATGCTCAACATCACTTGTAATCAGCGAAATCCAAATAAAAAATATAATGAAATATCACCTCATACTTGTTAGGATGAATCTCATACTACAAGTGTTGGTGATAATGTTGAGAAAAGAGAACCCTTGTACACTGTTGGTGGGAATATATTATACACTTGTGCAGCCATTTTAGAAAACAGTATGCAGGTTTCTCAAAAAATGAACACTAGAACTACCATACAATTCTGTAATCCCACTTTTGAGTGTATACTTTTGAGTATACATCCAAAAGACATGAAAAGCAGTATCTTGAAGAGATATCTGCTCTCCTATATTCATTGAAGCATTATTTATAATAACCACTATATGGAAACAACCTGTCTATTGATGGGCGAATAGATGAAATATGAAGAAATAGAAGATGAAGATGAAATAGAAGAAAATGTGGTGTGTGTGTGTGTGTGTGTGTGTGTGTACATGATGGAACATTATTTAGCCATAAAATGAAAGAAGTCCTGCCATTTGCAATGACATGAATAGAAATTATGCTAAGTAAAATTAACCAGACATAGAAAAAAAATACTGCATGTTCTCAATTATATATGGAATTCAAAGACGTTAAACTCCTAAGAACAGAATAGAATGGTGGTTGCCAGGGGTTGAGGGATGGGAGGGAAAATGTAGGACTTTAGTCCAAGGGTACAAACTTTTTGTTATAATATAAATAAGGTTGGGAGATCTAATGTACAGTATAGTGACTATGGTTGATAATAATCTAAGGAACACTTGAAATTTTCTGAGAGCACATCTTAAGTGTTTTCACTGCATGTGCACACACTATGTGAGGTGATGGATATGTTAATTAACTTGATTGTGGTACCATTTCACAATGTATACATATATCAAAACACCACATTGTAGGGACCAGCAGTTAGCGTAATGGCTATATCGCTGGACTCCCACGTAGTCAACCGCAGTTCACGTCCCGGACCCGGCGGCTTAAACTCATGCCGGGCGCGTGTGCGTGTGTGTCCAAGATCCCAAGAGGAGAATGGAGGAGAAGGGATTGCGGTGTGGCCATCCCCCCTGGGGGGTGATTTCTCACTTTCTATCTCTCTATTTCTCTCTCTCTTTCTGGCGACCACACGTGCCCTATAGCAAAAACCTCTCCAAAAAAAAAAAACAACATTGTAAACCTTAAATACATATATAATGAAACAAAATAGCATGCACAGAAAAAAGATGGACAGAAATGAACCAAAATATCTTTTGTGTGTATAATAGTATTTTATACCATTTAAAAAAAATCTTTCTATGTTTCTCTATTTTCTGAATTTCCCATGATGAACAGACACTGTGATATTTTAATAATCATATAGATATAAAAAATAAATTCCTAAAAGAGTGGGTCCTCAAACTAACATTGATAAATCACTAACATGCAAAGAGCACATATAAAAAGAGCAAAGCTACCTGATGAAGTAGGCTTCTGAATAAACATTGGATGAAGCAGAAAGAACTCTGTCTGAAAAAAATCCAGTCTTGGGAGACTCCGAGAATGCTCTAACAGAAGTACCTTCTTTGATATGTATATCTTGCTCGAACTAATTGTGAACGTGTGTGCTTCTAGAATGCTTACCTCCATAGCATGTGTCAAGATGTGTAATGGAAATTGCATGAACGTAGAAGAGACCATGTCTATTTTATTCACTGCCATTTCCCCAGAGCCTAGCATAGTGCCTGGAACATAGTAGGTGCTCAGTAAATGTTTGTAGAATTTAGGAAGAATTCTGAGCTTAAAGAGGGAGCATAAAATGCTTAGGATTAGAAATCCCTGTTTCAGCTGTGTGGGAGCCTATGGAGGTCAATAAATATCCAATGTGCAGCACTTTCCCAATTCACTGAGATATTCTGGGGTTGTTTGTACTTGTCATCAGCAATGACAATTCATCAACCTCATGCTTGAGTATACCTTAGTAATCTCTGAACTTTCAGCAAAGTGGTTTAAAATTTTACAAACCATGGCATCCCTAGCTATATATATTAGAGTGGGGTCCAGAAGGGCCAGGATGCTCCCTAGCCTGTTCTATGGAGTCTCAACTATAGATCACACAGATAGTCCTTTCCTTTTCTTCCTTATGTCAAAAAAAAAATGCCAATTACTAAGAAAAAAATAATGCTCTCAAGGAAAATGGCAGGCCTGGAGAGTACTCATACAAAGGAAAAGCGGCAGCTTCTTGTTCCTATAAAAACACTGGATTCAGGGAAACTATAGTCATGAAGATGCCAATTTATCCTGCATGAAAAATGAAGCTGTTCCTAAAACTCCAAAGCAGCACAGCTTTCTCGCTGAAATCTTCTTCAGCTATAAGTGGTGTTAGAATCTCAAATACTGGAATGAGAGACTCTCAAAATGGCTACTTTTGGCTTTCTAAACCACTCTCAGTCCCATCTTGAAGAGCTGATGCTCCTTGTGGAGCTGGGAACATCACGTACATCTAGTCAGCTTTCCCTTAAATTAGAACTCATTTATTGATAGTAATGTAATAGAAGGAAGGAAGCCTGGTGCTTCCAATTAATATAAAAACACCTTCCATCTGTCTCCTATGAACAGACTCATGCCATGAGAGATCAAAATGCTGCGTAGTTAGACACATGGGCTCTTGAGGCAGACATCCTGAATTCCAGTCCAGGATTTGTCACCTACTACTTATGGGACACTGGAGAACTTACTTAAGCCCTTGGTGTCTCTGTTTCCTCATTTGTAAAATTGAGATAACAACAATAATTATCTTATTGTGAAGATTAAATGAAATAATTACATGCAAAGGATTTAGAGAAATGCCTGGAACATAGTAAATGCTACTTGCTGGCTACTATCTTCATCATTCTCATCCCCTATTTCCAAAAGTGGGGTACGTGCATTTAATTTACCTGGGCACTATCCTGGCACGTAGAAAATCAAGTCCTTTTAAAACTGATAGAACACCCAAAAGTAAGTCTTACAAAAATACAAGAAAATGATACCATTTTACTAAAGTACATTATAAAATATTTAACAAAATAGAGATATTTATCATCTTCTAATATGAAATTTACCAGAAGTGTGGAAGTGTAAATTCCACCCCCAAAATAACCTAATCATATATCAATAATACAATTCCAATCAAAGATGCAAAGACATTTTTTTCTTTTGATGTTATTATTTTGCATTTTTCATTCTGTTTTTGGTTCTTTTTTGGGGGAGGGGGAATTAACAAATTGACCTTGGAAATCAATCTACTGGGGTAAATTGTGAAAGGACTATGTAAGAAAGGCACAATACCTAAAAGCAATAAAGAATTTGAATACATAAAAAGGCAATATTTTAGAATGCCAGAAGATACTATAAGCAAGATATATTATAATATATATATATCAAGTATAATGTCACATATATGTTACATATGACATATATATACACACATTTAAAACATGTGTGTATGTATATACAAGAAATTATGTGCGCATCCTTTCTCATCCACAACAGAGAAAGGATGGATAGCCAGAAGGAAATGTCTCCTATGAATTAATATAAAAAAAGAAAACCCATTAGAAAAAGTGAGTAAAATATATAAATAAGCAATTTACAGAAAACAGGGACCAGCAGATGGCATAATGTTTACGTCACTGGACTCCTGTGTAGTCAACCACGGTTCAAGTCCTGGACCCTGAGGTTTCAAACTCAAGTCAGGTGCATGTGCATGCATGCCCAAAATCCTGAGAGGAGAAGGGGTTGAGGCATGGCCATCACCCTGTGGGGTGATTTCTTGCTTTCTGTCTCTCTGTCTTTGTTTCTGGCAAGCGCATGTGTCCTATAGCAAAAATTAAAAAAAAAAAAATTTACAGAAAGCACAAAATGACCAAACATGAAAAGATACATAGTTTCACTCATAATCAAAGAAAGAAAATTAGTTGAAAATCTAGTTATTTTATAATTATGCAAATAAATAATATTTAACTTAAAAATATGAAGAAACAGGCACATTCATAGATGAGGGGACTTAAAAAAGTTCATGGAAAAATGGAATTTGGGCCAAATCCATGACACGGTGGTTAAGAAAGCTAGATCCCACATGGTCAATCATGAGGTTTGAGTTTCAGTCCTAGTGGCTTGAAAAACATACAGAGTATTTATGCATGCATGCCACAAATCCCAAGATGAAGGGACTGCAGCATGACCATGCTCCACTGGGGGGCGAGGGGTACTTTCTCTCTTACCCTCTCTGTCTCTTTCTGTCATGAATATGTGCCCTCTGCCAAAATAATAAAAAGTGATTCTTCAAAAATGGAATTAAAGTATAAAAACTTTTGTACTTTTGTTGCAAAAATTTTTGAAATCCATGCATAGTTTTTATATAATACAAATTTTCTGTGAACTTTTTGAAGATTCCCCATACTTTCCATGAAGTATAAATTCACACGACATTTTGAGAGGGTTATTTGGCAGTATCAATAAAGTTCTTAACATATATATCCTTTCACCCAGAAATTCTGCTTCCAAAAACATCCTACTAATTCTCATTCGAAGACATTCACTAAGCATAGTTTACAACTAGCAAAAAGTTTTGTGTATGAAAAATTAAAAACGAATTTTTACCTTACCAATAGAAGATTAGGCAGGGGCTGGCAGGTAGCATGGTAGTTAAGGTGCTGGACTCCCACATGGTTGCCTGTGGTTCAAGTCCCAGACCTGGGGGCTTGCTTTCTCAGTATTTCTCTCTCTCTCTCTCATCTCTCTCTAGTCAAATTAAAAATTAACAATAAATAAAATTTTTAAAAACCAGTTTAAAAAAAAAAAAAGAAGATTAGGGAAATAAGAAAGAATGATCAAGGGACCAGCAGTTGGCATAATGGCTATGTCGCTGAACTTCCATGTAGTTGACCACGGTTCGAGTCCTGGACCTGGTGACTTAAACTCACGCCAGGGCGTGTATGTGCGTGCCAAAGATCCCAAGAGGAGAATGGAGGAGAAGGGACTGTGGTGTGGCCATCCACCCTGGGGGGTGATTTATCACTTTCTGTCTCTCTGTCTCTCTCTCTCTGGTGAGCGCATGTGTCCTATAGCAAAAACCTCTCCAAAAAAAGAAAAAAGAAAGAAAGAATAATCTAAGGGGCCAGTAGGTGGCATGGTGGCTGGGGCGCTGGACTCCTTGGGATTTTGGCCATGTATGCACACATACCCTGCATGTTTTTCAAACCACTGAGTTTGGGACTTGAACCATGAAGTTGTTCATGTGGCTAAAGGATCCAGTGCCTTAATCACCACACCACCAGCTATAGTTTTGCTATAGGGTATATGATTGTATATGTAAGAGCACCGAAAATCCTGATGAGAAGGAAAAATGAAGGAAAAGGATTGGAGTATGACCACACCCCACTTGGGGGTGCTTTGTTTATGCCTTTATCTTGACTTTAAAAACACTGATTCACATTTCATCCTCTCCTAGAGGTCTTACTCTTCTCAGGATCCCTCAGCACCAACTTTTTTTTTTTTTTAGTTGTGCTATAGAGTCCATGCACTTGCCAGAGACAGAGCAAGAGAGAGAGAGAGAGAAAATGAAAAGGCACCCCTCAGCATGGGATGGCCATACTGCAATGCCTTCTCTTCCATTCTCCTTCAGATTTCAGGCATGTAAGCATACATGCCCTGCATGTTTTTCAAGCCGCCAGGTCTGGGACTTGAACCATGGAGGGATCCAATGCTTTAACCACCACACCACCAGCTGGCCCCTTGGATCCCCTTTTTACACCAAGACAAGTGACTGCTTTGATAATTCCCTCCAAAAATCATAGCAAAGTTCAAACTCAAACCAGGCTTGACTCTCATCACTATTCATCCCATTCTCCTTTTCTTTTTCTCTATTGATGTTGGGAGAAATGACTGAATTAGTGGTTCCCAAATGTGGCCATGAACTATGATACTTTTTTAAAGACTTATTTATTTAATTTTATTTATTGTTATTTTTAAATTCACCTGAGAGGGAAAGTGAGAAAGCAAGTCACCATATATCAGGGACTCAAACCGCAGTCTACCATGTGGGAGTCTAGTGCCTTTACCACCGTACCACCTGCTGGCCCAACTATGATACTTTTTAGAAACATAGGTTCCTGATCTCCCTGCACTCTGGGATTGATCCAGGTATAAGGAGGAACTGTAATTTTTAAAAGAAGCTTATCATATGATTTAGATGACTGGTAATATCGGGATCCTATTTAAGATGGCCACCCCTAAACAAACAAAAGAAAACAACTGACAGCATAATTTAAATACTCTGGACAAGGGAAAATATCCTACTAACTGCTGGTATTCTTCTGGGCCCATAGAGGGTTTATCTGTGGCATTTTTTATTGAAACAGGTTACCCCAGTTTTAAGAATCTAGCAGGTCTGGAATGTTTCCCTCCCCAAATTCTTGGATTACCCACCAATGCTGTCCATTTGAACTTCCTGTGGTGATGAAAATATTCTCTATCTTTTCAATAGTCTCAAGCCACATGTGGCTGCTGACCACTTGTAATGTGGCTAGTATTAATGAGGACACATGTTTTTAATTGTATTTTATTTCCTTTTAAATAGCCACAAGTGGCTATTATATTGGATGGCTTGAGTCTAGACTTCGAAGATCTTTAATTTAAGCAGAGCCCTCCCCTCTCCTGACCCCACTCACCTCTACCCAGGGGGACCTCTGCAGAGATCAGAGTCACATAGAGCTGATAGGTCAGCTGGGGCACTGAGCCCAGGAAGGCTTGGATCTGCGACATACGTTTGTAGGCATTGCGGTGCATAGCCAGGGTCCGGATGGAGTGGCCCACCTCCCATTCTATCAGCACTTCCTCTTTATCTATTAGCATCTTCTTTCTGGTGAGGCTGACATAGGGCTCCTCCTGCCCCTCTTTCTTCCACAGCATGAGATACTTAATCATGGCCTCCAAACATCTGCAGAAGTAAAGCATCATGGGAACTTAACTAAAGCTCTCCTGGGAAGGGAGGTTGTAATGAGGTAGAAAAATAACAGGCACTTTTTGCCATTTTCTCTCTTCTGTTCTCATTTCTCATAAGTCACAGGGTTGGTCACGATTTCTACAAATTACTCAGGTATAAATCCTTTTTTGTTTGACTAACCCAAGAACACCATTTCAGAAGTACTTCTTTGAGGAATTGAATAGGCCTATGGTAGAAAATTACCTTGAACGCAAGGTATTAATTCTGTGTTGACAGAGAATGATGAAGGTTCCAAAAGGCCCTGGTTTTTATAACATCTTAAGTTTCTGAGATAGAGTATTCCTTATTTAAAACATTCAGCTCCATACTCAGGAGACCATAAGCAGGGATTTTAGGTTGGGTTGTCAGGAAGGCACCTACGACTGTAACTGCCTTAGCTAAAATGTGTTAAGAGTTATAGGAAAATATCTCTTAGGTATACAAGAAACTAGTAACAAAAATACTTAAAAGGCTTGGCAACACCAAATAAAATGTCAAAATACTTTTGTAAAGATTGTTTTGTGCCTCTTGGCCTGTTTGGGGACAACAGCCCTTTTTTTAAAGTTTTTGTTTGTTTTGTTTTTGTTTTGTTTTGTTTTGTTTTGTTTTTCTATAGGGCATGTGCACTTGCCAGAGAGAGTGAGAGGGAAAGTGAGAAATCACCCCGTAGGGAGGATGACCATGCCACAATCCCTTCTCCAGTATCTTCTCAGGATTTGGGGCTTTTAAACTTGATTCTTTCTTTACAAATAGTGAAAAAGATCACATTTCCTGCTTGGTACCCCTCCCATCTCTTTCATATAAATCAGAAGTCTTCAGTAGTTCTGATGGGGTGAGAAGAGAAGCAACTAGAACATCTTGTTTTGAACATCTGAGTTACCACTTCCCCCATTCACTCTGAAATGAACAGAAACTGTGGACTATTTATGACAAATAAGAACATTTGTGTTAGAAATTAAGCCATCTTCCCCAAGAGACTGAGGGCAGGGGTTTGTATGTATCTTGCCCACAACCTTTATCACATAGTATTTGATATATATTTGCTGAGTAAATGAAAGCATGAGAAAAAAAGAATACAGGTTACAAATCATGGTAGGAGAGGATAATCATAACAGCAAAGTAATCTACAGAAAAATAGACCAAAGACAAGTTCAGAGATGTGGATTTTCTGAGTTTTGGCTCTCACTGAAAGGTCTGGAACCTGTGCAGGCTGCCATTATCCAAAGGATCAAGATTGGTGTGTGTATGTCACCCTGAAGTGTGCAGTTTGAAACTTCTACTTTCTAGGGACAAATTCTAACCTGGGAGAGAAAAAAAGATAAAAGAGAACGGGGGGGGGGGGGACGCCTTTCCTATTCCAAAAAAAAAAAAAAATCTCTTCCTATTCAGAAAAAAATGTGTAAGTGAATTTTTTAAAAAAATTGCTAGAGGGTGCATGTACTCCCTGGAGAGAGATAGGGAGGGAGGGAGATAGAGAGAAAGAGAAGACCCCCTATGGATAGGAGGATAGTCACACTGAAATCCCTTCTCCTCCATCTATCCCTCCTTTCAGAATTTTAGGCACACACCTGACACATTTTTCAAGCCCCCAGGTCCGGGACTCAAATCATGCAGTCAGCCCTGTGGGATCTAACTGCCTTAACCACCATGCCACCAGCTGGCCTACATAAGTGCATTTTTTTAAAGAGGATTTTGCGATAGGGCACGTGTGCTCGCCAGACAGAGAGAGACAGAGAGACAGAAAGCAAGAAATCATCCCCCAGGGGGGATGGCCACACTGCAATCCCTTCTCCTCCATTCTCTCGGGATCTTGGGCACGCGTGCACATGTGCCCGGCGTGAGTTTTAAGTCCCCGGGTCCGGGATGCAAACCGCAGTCGACTACATAGGAGTCCAGCGACATAGCCATTACACTAACTGCTGGTCCCCATAAGTGCACTTTTAACAAAAGATTTAAGATTTTAACCCAGGCCCATCAATGCTACTGCTGAATAAAATATTGGAGGAGGTGATGAAATTCTTCTTTTCATGCTTCTATTCTTAAGATTATTTACTATTTTAAGTAGGGGTGTTTGTCAACTTGCTTATAAAACCTTTGGTAAATTAGAAAACATTGTCATTTCCAGAAGTATGCTTGTACTTCATGTCAGGGAGTCAGGCCCTACGAACACCTTTATATATGCCTGATAGTACTGATCAAGTTCTTACCTACTTAAAAATAGGCCTTGAAATAAATAAATCAAGCATGTAATCTATGAGTTTTTAATTATTCTTTTTCCTGCTGTGGGCTTAGCTGACTGAAGTTATATAAACGCTCCCCAGTCATTTCTAATGGAAGCCAAATGACAAAAATGAAAAACAGCACTCAATACTACATGGAGGATCCAAATCAAATACATCTTGGGAGACCACAAAGCAAATAAGGAAAATCATAACTGGAAGCTGAATACGTGTAAAATTAGTATCTTGATTGTTCTTAATCTGTTAACTCAATATATTACATTTGAATTTAAAAAGGAGAATGGTTTCTTTACTCCTCTAGTGACATCTTTAAGTTTCTTGGGTCCAACAAAGATGAGGTCTTTCTTTTATAGCTTAACTTCAAAGATTTGGAAGGGGAAAGGATTTTTAAAACACTAAATCCAAAGACTGAGTATGGACCAGCTGAGTCACATCGGACCAACAGATGTGGTTTGGCCCACACTGTGTTATGTATGTGTTTCATCACCTGCAAAAATTTTAAATCATGACATCTTTCATAAAATCCTGTCTTGGGAAGTTCTGAAAAGTTGGCGAACGTGGTAATATTGGGTCTGAATTCCAACATGGACATAATGGACAGAGCTGTAGAGTGACTGCCTCCTTTTGACAGGTCATACAGATTCCAGATTGTCATGGTGCTCACTATTCCATCATTTCTCTAACAATGAGACTGTCTTCTTCATTTATCATCACACATGAAACTACTGTTTTTCTTATACTAGGCTTGTGTCACATTTATACCTGTCCATTCCCTACTAGCACCTGGGTTTGAGACTCATGATCTAATTCAACTCATTTATTTTACAGAAGAGGGAACTGAGGCCCAGGCATCATCAGAAATTTCAGCACAACCACACAGTTAGCCAATGACAGAGGGAAAACTAGGCTCCAGGTCTCCCAAATTCCAATCCTCTACTTCTATTGATATCCCCTATTTTCTCTGAGGAAGCCTAATAAATCCTTTTCCATTTAAACACGTATTGGTAATAATTTCCTCCACTTTATTAATTTATAATTGATAAAATTTATACATATTTGCAGATTAAAATTTTTATAAAGAAGGAAATTGTATACCTAGGTAAGTTTCACAGACTGTTTTTAGTTCTCTAATGATGAGATATCTTCCCATTGCAATTACATAAACAATAAACATTCTGACCTATATTCCTCAGTTGACTGTAGGTATCCACCTCTCTTGCAATCAAGACAAACTTGGACCATTCCTCTCCTCTTGACCTCACAAGTTTTGCAATCTCTCCCTACCTTGAAAAATCCCATAGCTTCCAAATGAGACTGCCGACAGGAATGCTTGTCTCCCTAGGCATAAGCACATTCTTGTCCCTTCAAGGCAACCTGAATAGAAATACTCAATACTATCACATTGTGCTACTGCATCCAGATGAAATGGCCTATCATCCTTTGCCCTCTTCCAACATGTACCCCTAGTGCATAAATATAAAAGAGATAAACAGGAGACTAACAAAGTGATGGAGAAAGATGAACTATGTTGGGTTGGGATATTAGATTACGACAGATGGCTTAAAATATTTTCCAAATAACTCTAGAAAATTTGAAAATGGCAGCAGCACCAGCATAAGCAGCTCAGGGTAAAGAAACAGAATGTGCAATGAGGTGGAATAGGGAATGAATTTTCATCCAATTTACAGAGCATCTAAAAGGCAGAGTCAGAATAACACATTCTGCAGTATGGCCTGTGTATACAGGGTGTCCATTTCTGTTGGTCCGAGACCACTATTTAACCCAAATCCAGGTAGCAAACATTGTCTAATGAAGTCTTACCAATGGCATTATACACAAATTTGAAGCACAGGTATATGCCATCATGGTAGCATTCAAGATTTCAGATACTTTTTTTTCAGATACTTTTTTTTTTTTTTTGGATGTTAGAAGGGAAGTCAAGAGTGAGAGGGAATGGGAGAATTGATTACATTAGAGGCATAGTATCAGTCTTGTAAATATTAAGTTCATCTTTTCCTGCACAAGTCTGGAGGCAGGAGAAGAGATTAAAAAGTTGCTCACAGGGGCCAGCAGGTGGCATGGTGGTTAAGGCGTTGGACTCCACATGGCCAACCATGGTTTGAGTCCTGAGCCTGGTGTTTGCTCTCCCTCTCTGTCTCTCTTTGGTCAAACAAGATAATAAAATAAAATAAAATGATTATTAAAAAAAAGAAAGTTGCTCACCTGATAACAGGTCCCAAAAGAATTAGATGCATAAATAATGATAGTGGTTTATCCTTTGCCAGATCTCTGTGGACAAAAATGAGGGTCAACTGGACCATAATGGATGAAAACATAAAGAAGAAAAAGGTATACATCATCCAGTAGGTTTCATTATTCTTTCGATAGATTCTAACCATGTACAAGGCAGATGCAGCTTCCCCACAATACAAAAAGGTGGAGAAGAGGATACCAAATGGAAATGTAAAGCGTGGGTTGGCCCCACGGATGACATCTTCCTCCAGAGGTGAAACTGGATCCACATTTGGCTCCTCAGGAATTTCATAAACTCTGTCCATTGTGGAAGTTCTGTGTGTTGTGGTCTGGTGTTCAGAGGACCCCACCATCCATCTCAAGGAGAACCCTGTAGCCACTGCAGTCCAAATATCAGTTTAGTCCAGTTCTGGGATGGAGATCCACTAATTAGAGAGCAACAGATCCCTCTCTTGCAGACTCAGACTGGATTTGAAGTGTGGGATGCAGAGCTCAGGGGTACCACTATGAACTTGCCTCTTGATTGGCCCAGGATTCCAATCTTCAACATACGTGGTGTGAAACTTGGACAAGACAAAAGCAAGCATCCCAGCGCCCAGTCCGGAGTCCAATTCCAGGTGGGCGAAGATCCATGGGAAGAGCTGTTTCCCAGAGGGTAGTCACTCTGTCTAGGCACGAATACACAGCAGCTCCTCGGGAGGAGTCCTGACCAGTGCGCTCTCTCAAGTCAGCGGAGAACTGAGCCAGAGCAGAAGAGCAGCTCAGCCTCAGCGTCTCTTCGGAGATTCGGTTCACTGCCTAGGTACTCCAGCCACAGCTGGGTTGTGGCTATTTAAAAGGTCTTTCGCTCGCCCGTTCACCTGCGCTCTCAGGGCCGGCGCTCAGTCTAGGGCTCCTAGGATGGCTCCTCGGATTCCCCAAGCCCCGCCCCCAAGGCAGTCGGGCGGGGACTGAAGCGTAGCCACAACCCTGTCCCCAGCGCGGTTTCTAGGGAGTTGCCGAGCACGCGCCCGCTCTAAAGGATCAAGGAAAGGCCGGAGAGACTTCTCCCACCGAGAGAAACTTTGCTATTGAGAGGCACTGTGCGGAAAGCCAGCCCGGCCCGGCAGATGTCGTCAAACTCTTAGACGCCATCTGTTGCCAGGGTCCTGTCTGACCCGCGATTCCAGCTGCGAGAGGTCGGCGGCTTCTGGAACTGAGGCACCGGGAAGGCGGGGGCAGGAGAGCTGGGAGGGACGGATGAGGCCAAACAAAACCCGTCTGAGAATTCCAGGGCGGCCAGCTGAAGGATGCTCTGAGTGCAGAGACCGAGAAAAGGAGTTGGGGCACTCTTCGGAAGCACTTCTCACCACGAACCTCGGACCCAGGAGCAAGCCACAGCTTTTTTCTCCCTCAAGAGCTGCAGGCGCCCACTTCTACCCCGCCCTCCCTAACTTGCTCAGTGGCTCGCTCCCACATTCGCTCAACCCACGCGGTTAGGCAGGTGTGTCTCCCTTGGCCGCAGGGTTGAACCTCCCTAGGTCCTATTGCCCTCCAGATACTATCTGGAGGGGGAAACCTAGGAGGCAACTGGGACGGGCAGTTTCCTTTCCAGGCCGGATTGTACGCAGCAGGGGGACAACAGGACAGGATAAAAATCAAATCTCAAGGTCAGCTCACAGAAACTCAAAGCACAAATTATAAGCCTTAATCTATCCACTGACCAACTGAGAGTAAGGTAGGAGCTTTAGAATGAACTTTCAGGTCTTTGGTTGAAAGGTTCTGAAGAGCTGCCGAATTCTAAATAGACTGGCAAGGAACCAGGGGAGCTGCTAGTAAAATCTGAAAGGGGCAACTTAAAGAGCTCTGAAAACTGCCCAGATTCTTAAATGCAGTCCTCCCCCACCACAGTGAGCTTTTGTTTTCATGCCTTCATTTGCATAATTCTATACCCCAGAGGAAAAGAGAAAACATCTGCCTCCTGGTAATAACATAAATGTAGCGGGAGTCTTGTGCCAATCTCCTTTTGCTGCAGGAAGTCAGTAAAAAGAATCTATGCAAGGAAGGAGTGGCTAAATAGCAGCCACCAAAATGATGGCCTCAAGATAGACTTAGTCTTGTCATTGTGTTGTTTTTTTAGGCTCCCTTGATTGCAGCCCTGCTTACCCTAAGGCTGATTCAGGGACTGGTTCAACATCTAAAGGTTGTTGCCTTCTGAAGTAGACCCGAATCTTGGTCTGCACCTGCACTAGCAGCTGGGCTAAGAGGCTGATCTTCCTTTCTGTTTCATGAGGGAGGTCAACATTATAAATAACAACTTCAAAGTGTTGATTGGTTGGGAACTTTCAAGTGAGATGAAGTTCTCCACCAGCACCATGTAGTGCAGAACCTCTTGGAGCTGCTTTTAGGGACCTGCTTGCAAGGTGGATCTCAGGCAGGGTGACCAACTCATCCCAGTTTGCTGGAATGGGGTGAGTTGCTCACCCTAACACAGGAGAGTGAAGCTAAGAAGACTGCAGAATCCCGACATTTTTCTCTCCTTCCCTGTGCCCTCGGCACTCCCTAAATACATGCTCTACGATGCCTTCTTACTTTCCTCTAAAATGACTCCTCCTATCTGTCATTCCAGGCTCTCTCTAATTACCATACTTCTTTCTCCCAAACTTTATTGTACAGCTGGTTATCTCACTTATTATACTTGTTTTGCTCACTCCCACTCTGTGCCTTGTTGATGCCATTTAGAGTCATCTTTTACCCTTTTCTCTATTAGTCCAAACCCTAACCTTCCTTCAAGGATCAGCTCAAGTTCTACCTCTTCCAGGAAGGCATCTTTGACTTCCCTGACCTTCACTTTTTTCTGTCTTTGTGCTGCTGGCACATGCTCTCTCATACTAGTCCTGGAACTCTTCTGTTTGACTCTCCAACAGAAATGGAAACTTAGGGAGAGGGATGTTCAATGAATGTTTTGTGTGTGGCACTTGTTGATGAAGATGGTGATTGACAAGTGGTGATGATAAAGAAGCTTCCTCCCCCATACTTCCTCCATGAAACCATGCAAGACTCAGACATAGTCATCTCTAAAAGCTGTGGCCACTATAGCTGAGGCACAAAGTCCTTTGACTGAATAAGCACTATCTTACTCAGCCATTTGGCTCACAGAGGAGGCCAGACCATATACTCTACCCCTCTTCTCAGAATTACTAGAGTGTCTTTATGTTTATTTCATTTTTAATTATTTTTACTGTTTTATTTTCCCCCTGCCTCAGGTTTATTTGTATAAACAGCACAGGAGAACACCAGCCCAGTGAACAGGGTAGCCCAGGGGTCACCAGACCTTCTGTCCTTACACTGGCAGAAGCCTCTACTAGAGAGCATTTGTGGGGGCCTAGACACCTTTGGGAGTCTGAGCTGGAGCTGGAACTGAAGTTGGAGGCGCAGCCAAGGCCTGGGCCTTGGTTTGAGCCTTGGCCTTGCTGGCTTTTGGCCAACAGAGCCTGGGGCTCTTGGTGATATGGCCATGAGCACATTTCCCAAGTTTGGAGTGAGTGATGTAGGCAAGTAGACTGAGGTTGTGGCTGTCCTAGAATGCCCTTATTAACTTTGGGCTTTACAAGGGCCTTGATAACCTCAGTTTGTATACTCATGGTCTTGGCATTATTGGCTGCCTCTTCTTCAGACCCTTCCTATTGTGCTTCTTGGCAAAACACATGTTCTTCAGGAGCTTGGGGTTTACCTTCTTAAGAGATTTGTATCTTTGTGATTGGAGTTTCTTGATGCCACTTCTGTGCTATTTTTGGGACTGGTTTTGTGTGGTGTGGTTCTTAGACTTGGCCATGTGTGCACTGAAACACGCATAGAGCATTTTTAAATTGATACCACAATTTAGCACCAAATTATAAATTATCTCAAGTGTATTCATTTTTATTCATCAACTAAATTACTATAAATTCCTTGAGGGCAGAGCCCCTACTATTACACTTTTATTGGATTCCTCCATGGCTTGTATAGACCTGTAAATTTCCTGCCATCTGATCCCCCTCACCCACCAGCTTCTCTGCTTTCACCCCTAGGACTCTCTGGCGCTTTAGGTCACTAAATCCTCTGGTCTCTTATTTCCCTGTTCCTTTGGACCATTTCTGTCCATTGCCTCTTTCAGGCAATCTCCAGATCCAGCTCTCTACTCATCTTAGGACTAGAAGTACTCGAAATGATTACAGTCATGAGACTGCTGAGGTCCTGCTCTTGGGCTGCTCTCCGGATGCGAGGTAGTGTTCAAGGGTCAGTTTTCCCATCCAAGAAGCAAGAATGAGAGGTCCAAGATCTGACTCTTTACCAACCCTACCCCAACTCAGCAAAAACAAAGAGTGGTCTAAAAGCTTTTGGCATCTTTATCAACATTCAGAACCCCTCTAAACCTTGTAAGGCTCAGGGATAGGACTGAACTTTTCAAGCCACTGTAGCCTGAAGATTTTACAGCAGCCTCATAGAAGCTGATTGGTAAGAGAGGATCAGGCATCTATGAGGGGAGAGGAGAGGAAGAAGAGATGTGCAGTGTGTGGCTGATAGTCCAGTCACATAATATTGGTTTGTGGGAGGTGATGGGGGTGGGGGGTAAGGCCCAGAGAATCAGTAGGTAGCAGGAAGGATGGTTTCCTTCTATAGAATACTCAGTTTGGGCTGTTAGAATCCTCAAAAGAATCTAATGTGATATCAGTTGTATATCTTCTTATTTCTGTTTCTGCCATGAGGTCCCTGAGGACAAAAGCTCTTGCCTGTGAATTCTGAACCACTCCCTACATCACTATCATCCCTAGGAATCTGGGTCTGAAGTCAAAGCACCAATATGTTCCCTGCAACCCTCATCACTCACATTTTTCTTTTAAAAAAAAATGGCTAAAACGAACATCTTGGGCCAACCCATGGTGTGGTAGTTAGGGTGCTTAGATCCCTTATAGCTGACTGTGCAGTCCAAATCCCAGATTTGGAGGCTTCAGAAATATGCCAGGAGTGTGTGCGTGCTTGCTTAAAATCCCAACAGGAGGCAGAAGTGGAGGTGAACAAATTTTGGCGTAGCCATTCACCATGAGAGGTTCTCTCTCTCTCTCTCTCTCTCTCTCTCTCTCTCTGTCGTGTGTGTGTGTGTGTGTGTGTGTGCGTCCCTTCTGCAAATGCATGTACCCGCTGGCAAATTAAAAAATAAAGATTAAAAAATACCTTATTTTTTTCTTATTTCCCTCTAGAAATCTCTTGCATGTATAATCCCATCTTGATATTTGCTCATCAGAGAACCTGAGCTAACATATTGGTGGTGCTGGTGGTGCTAGTGGTAATAATAGTGGCATTTGTGATGTTGGCTGTGTAGTCTGGAGTCTAGTTCTCTGGACCAATTGGTGATTCTGTGAGTTACTCAATATGCTTTCAATACATACAGTTGGTGATTCTGAGAGTTACTCAATATGCTTTCAATACACACATTTTCTGCCTAAATTAGCCAGTAAATTTCTGTTGCTCACAACTAAGAACCCTCTGGATTATACAGGAAATAGACAACAACAACAACAAAAAAAAAACACGCAGTTATAACACAGCATGAGTTGTAATAGAAGCATAGTGTCTATGGGAGAACATAAAGGGCATTTAACCTATGTCTTCCCAACTGAAGTAACTATATCCTACCTAGAATTGTTGGTCAGCTCGTGTCACTAATTTTATAGGCTACCTCTAGTTGAAGGAATTATAAAAATCTCCTCAATTAACCATTCCTTTGGCAGTAATTCTCATAGTTATGTTCATACAAGAACTTAGAGTAGGAGGAAGACTACTTCCAGACTCCAGGG